CCTTTCCCGCGTGTCTGTGCAGCGCTGCGTGTCCTGGGGCCTTGTCTCTCCTGCCCAGATACGCCCGGGTGAAGGCTGCGAGTTGCGTTTATGTGCAGACTTACATCTCTTACTTTTGGCTTGCTAGCTCGGCAATAACCTGAGCGTGAGCTTCCTGCAAGTTGTTCTGCTTCACAAAAGCTGAGCTGCTCTCTGCGCGTCAGTGGTGTTAACAGCCATGGCAGGGTATCGTGGAAATAATCCCTGTCATAGTCATCTTCTGTCCCGTACTCCTGAACCGGACAGGCACGCAGTCAGCGTGCTGCAGCCAGGAGCAGGTGACCACGATGTGCAGCGTTTAAATGCATACTGACCTGTACGTTCTTCTTCATACGGTAACGTGGGCGTAGACATTTATGCACCCCTTCATGGAGTGCACACAGGAGACTGATCCACTCCGGGTGTCTCTCCTTCGTAGTCCTAGTCATGATTTCTCCCATTTTTTTCAGCTGCACAGGAATAAGAATTTGACTTTATTACACTACTGTACTCCCCCCTCCCCCTTCTTTTTTTGCAACTTTGTCAAAAAATGAGGTGGGAGGAAAGAAGAATACAGGACAGACAGAGAGGAGAAACTCATAAAAGGTTAAGTGTATTTCAGAAACTTTCCCTCTCTCTCAAAAAGTTCTGCACTGCATGTTAACTGTAGTGATCTGTCAAAGAAACTGTTCAGCGTGAAAATAAATGTCATCCTGTATTAGTAGATGTTATCTCTTGTTATCGCAGGAAGGTTGTTCTAGGTGATACTTATTCTTTCGAAGCAATGCTTGTTCTGTTTCTAGAAACTCCCAAGAGTCAATAATAAAGAACAGGATTTTTTTTTTTTTACCAACTCTTTAAATTGTTTTATGTAAATAACATAAACCATTTTTTCATTTCAACTAATTCTAGAATACAGTTCATACTCTGAACGTGTTTATCTAAAATGATCAGGGTTAACTGGACATTGCTGCATCTCATCTTTACAGTGGAAATTGGAAGTGCTCCTAGTTCATTCCTGATTTAGATTCATCATATGCAACTGACTTGATAATTTAATCACCTTCATGTTGACCTTGTTACAAATGAGTAAGATAATATTAGAAAATTGAAGTATTTTTTCTATAAAATTTAGAAGCCATGGTGTGCAGGAAATAATTATGTAGCAAATATGTGAGATTTTGTTTTGTTTTGCCCATTGGTATGATTAACAGTTGCTCAGAGATTTGAAAAAGTAATCTGAATCTGGTCCTATCTGGAGCTGGAATTTTGATAGATATCTTGCAGTCTGTAAAGAAAGAAAAGCAAAGGTATTGGTTTATAAAAGCTATAGATATTTTTTAAATTATTGTTGCTTTCCTCTCCTCTTTCTTCCTTTCTAGAGACAGTGGAAGAAATTACACTGCTTTGCTAGCTTGTGTCTTTCATTATACTGATATTCCTTTGTAATACTGCATTTCAATATATTTTTTTATAGCTCCTATTTCAAAGAAAATTAGTAACTAGTAGGCCCTTTGTGAGAGTCTACTTACCCACTTGCCTAAGATCAGGGCTTATTTAATTTAAAAGTGAGTTCAGAGTGTTGCTAAAGTGATGCTTTAAAAATTAATCAAGCAGCTTGCCACACTGGAGTGCTTAGTGGAGTTATAAAATCTGATGTCTTGTGCTCTGGGAGGTCTTGGAGATTTTGTGCTTTGATGGGAGCAGATTGCTAGAAATATTTGTTAAATAACATATTTATACTTGTATATTTATGTTTGCTGGCCTAAGTTTAGGATAGTATGGGATTTTTTTCTGGAGGAGATGGGGAGTTGACAAAAGTCATCTTCTAGTACACAGTAACTGAAGAACTTTCTTGAATCAAGCAAGATGTAGTACTCAGAATACGGTTATCATCAGCCATATTTTTGTAAACACATAGAAAATTCACCACTGGTTAAGATTGGAAACTTACATGGAACCATTACAGTTCAGATCTAGGCAGTGTCTAAAACTTGTGTTATCCTAGTATCTAAATGTTTTGGGGTTCTTTTTGTAAAAGTGTTCACACTCACTTTAAGCATGTAAAGAAATACATTATATGTGTACATGATGTACATTTAGAGGAGTGATGTAAAAAGCACTCTCTTAGCCTTTATCACCTTTTTCTCTGGTGACTATTCTTTGGTACAGGCAAAAGCTTGGTAGCTTTACCTGCCGTGCACCTTTTTGCCCATCTCCATCCCATTTAAAATCTCTCACTGCATGCTGAGGTGCTGTCCCTAGGCTTCAAAGAGACCATAATGGTAATTGTTACCTGTTAGATTTTTAGATGAAAATGCAAAAAACTTTCTTTTTTTTTTTTTATTGCACTAGATTTATGCCTGTTTAGATCTTGTAAACCTCTATGGTGCTATTTCCTTGTCTTCCTCCACACTCCCACTGCCTTCCCCCTATGGCTTTCTCATCTTCCTCAGTGCTACATCAATGAAGCCAGGAAGCCCTAAAACTAATGCTAGCCCCTGGTGTAGCTTTGTTTCTTTTTGCACCTGCTCATAAAGTAGCCTTCAGGATGTCATTGCTGTGTTATAACTAATCTTGCATCCTTCTTTTCTCTGCTAGATCCACACAGGTTTACAACACCAGATAATTTGGCCATGCCAGCCCAGCTGTGTGCCACTGGATGAGAAACTCCTGCCAGAGCTACTTCAGGAGGCAGGATATGTTACTCACATGGTGGGGAAGTGGCATTTGGGGATGTACAGAAAAGAATGCCTTCCAACCCGCAGAGGATTTGATACTTACTTTGGTAATGTTTGGATTTAACATGGGCTACAAATGCGGCACTAAAAATGATGAGAAGCTGTCCGATTCTTCTAAGAACAGCAGATCCACTGTTAGTTTATAAGTAAATCAATACCTGGGTATGCATGTTTCCAAAGTATAAGTGCTTAAGTTATTTAGTGCCTTACAAGCATGCACACCCCTAACAACTTACTGAAGACAATGTCATAATTATTGAGTGTGTCCAAATAAAGTATTTCTCTCTTTTGATCTGTATTTAGTTTGGTTCCATGATGGTTAGAAGATTTAAGGTGTAGTGATTATTTTGTTTTTATAAGTGTTTTTAATCTCAACATTTTGTGTTAGATCAGACAGTAGTCATAGCTTGCTCTGTGATGTTACACTTGTAGAAGTTGATTTTAAGAGAGAAATAGATGTCATACTACACTGTGTTCGTGCCCTGTGAACAGAGTAGCATTGGTTTTCCAGCGCCTATGGCAAGCTGGATGGTGTGACAGCCTCTATAAAACAATATCCTAAAGGTCTTTTGCAGGAACTTGCAAGTTATGAAGTCAGATCCTCAGATCAAAAAAATAATGCCAGAATTAGATTGTCCACATGTGAGTGTGTTACAGAGCAACCTGTAGCTATACCTTGTTTAGTCTTCCTGTTGCAAAGACTTTTGTCCCAGTATTGGTTGGGCATTTATTGGTTTTGTGCAACTGCCAAAGATTTTATGTGAATCAGGCTGCCTGCAGTACCTCTCATTCTGCATGGTACTGACTGCCAAGTTGTCCAGCTCCACTTGGTTGTTTTTAAGACACTTTCATTGAATGGAGAATTTCAAAACACTTCATTGTCTTCAAAATAACTTTGCAAGATGTTGCTAGTACTGCTGCCCATTTCTACAGCAGAGGAATTAAGATACAGAGAAACTCGTGCTGAAGCCCACGTTCCTCTTGTCTAACTTTAGGTACTTAAATGAAGAGCCTGACTGTGCTACGTGCCCGTTGTAGACAGTGGTGATCCAAACTTTAGGTGGGAAGAACTGTTCTCTTACATTGTTTGTCTCTTTTGACTCTTTAGGCAGCTTGGGGCTGTGGTTTCACAACTGAATTAAGCTAATATATATGGATTGTAATACATCACATTGCTGAAACATATATGCCTCCTCCCATCCCTTTGCAGGAGCTTGGGATCTTTTTGATGGCATAGATTTAGATAGACCGGTGCTCTTAGTGAAATCTCACCTTGGGACCGAAGGCCCTTAATGCCTTAAAACAAGCTGGCTCTGGGCATAGATGTTGAGTGCCCAGCATGACATTATTTTTCAGAGATTGTAGCAGTTTAATATCCTGTAATATTAATGTAATTCCAGTAGGTGTTGATTGCAAATAAGGGACATTTGATTCATCAGCAAACATGATGCGGTGTTTCCTTCACTGGGCGTTCACAGTGGAAAAATGCAGCTTGCAGCTCTGAGTGCATTGATGTAGGCAGTTTGCCTGCAAAAATCTCTCCTTATGCTTCAAAACAAAAGCCATTTTTCCTCCTAAGAATGTATTAAAAGTTTATATGTTTTTTAAAACAGAATTTAATTATTTCTGTGCATAGTTTTTTGCACAGGTTTGTTTTTCCAGGGTGTTGGGGGAGAAATCTGAAATCTAATTTGCAAAGTAACAATTGCTGAGATTAAAAAAAAATTGAAAAGGTTTGTTTCTGGTCAATAAAAGGCAAAGGCACTCAATGCCTAACAAACAGGATAGCCCTTGATAGGAGTAAATCTATACCTCTAGAATTTTTACTTTTGTTTCTTTTGGTTATCTTTAAATGATAGTGTCTGTTTTTCACCAGTTGGTGTCAGCAGTGGATCAGAAGTTGCTTTACAGCTGACATTAAAAAAAAGCTTCATACTTGGATGTTTTAGAATACATTAAAAAAATATCCAAACTTCCTAATAGAGAGAGAAGTCTAATGTGAAAATACAAATATACAAAATCATACCAGCTGAAAAATCAGAGTAGTACACAGATAGGTCACTGCTTTTGCTGTCAGTGCATTAGTTTAATGCTAATGTATTTGATAGCAGGTTATGAATATAAAGTCATTTAACTGCTCTCAAAATGTTTCGTGTGTTTTGAGATTACTACCAGCATTCGCAGTAAAAAGTCTACGAAGTACTAAATGTTGACCTACTTGGACTTGTCAAGGAATGTCACCACAGATGGTCAAATGTTGGATGAGTGTTTCAGCTCAAAACCACTAAAGTTTTGACATTTATTTTTGACTTTTTTGTTTCCCTGATGTATCTATTTGTACAACATTACATTGACTTGCTTATTTAACATCTCTTCCTGTTTTAGGCTATCTTCTGGGAAGTGAAGATTATTATTCTCATGATCGTTGCGTCCTCATCAAAGCAAAGAACGTAACACGCTGTGCTGTGGACTTTCGAGATGGAGAAGAAGTTGCGACTGGATTTAAAAACATTTACTCGACTAACTTATTCACAGAAAGAGCTATAGATCTTATAGCCAATCACAAAACTGAGAAGGTACAGTGGGCAGCTGCTTTTGTTACCTTTAGCACTAAAGAATGTTTTAAAAAAAGTTAATGAAATATTAATGGGGAGACCTGCACTTGAGCTGTAATTTGGGGCTTTTCAGCAGGGTGTCTAGAGCTAAATGTGCTACCCTTCTCCATTTCTTTTTTAATAATACAAGTAATGAATTTATAGAAATTTAGGATGTAGTTTGCTCTTCTAAAAAGACAATGGAAAGTTTAATGGGAGAAGTTTCATAGAAATAAACTGTTAATAACTGTGCTATGAAGAAAAGATACACCTGATGTTTTTCCACAGCTTCGCAGAAGTCCCTTACCAAAGTTAGTAGTTTATGCTTAGGGATTACAAGAGAGAAGAGTAGAAGAAATCAGAACAAAGTGCCTGCAGCTGTTGATGAATCAGGGCTGCTTTTGCTGCAGGAACTTTTGCATTTAGTACTTTGTGTTCAACTAATTTCCATTCTATCCCTTCCACCCCAGCCCCTCTTTCTCTACCTCGCTTTTCAGTCTGTCCATGAACCTCTTGAGGTCTCTGAAGAATATATGAAACCATATTCCTCCATCAAAGATGCAAAGAGGCGCCATTATGCAGGGATGGTGACTCTTATGGATGAAGCTGTAGGAAATCTTACTGATGCTCTGAAAAGATATGGTCTTTGGGACAACACGGTTCTTGTTTTCTCTACTGGTAAGTTAATGTAAATATTCTTTCCATAGTAACTTTGATACAGTGTCTAAGAAGCTGACTGAAGAGGCAGCTGGGTCCTCTGTCCTTCCTCTATATATTTTCTAACTACAAAAGAGTGATGAAAGTGAAACAGGAATTTATACCAGAAGGAGCAGTTTCTCTCCCCGCTCTTATGGCTTTCTCAAGCATGATGAAAACAACTCATAAGAATTGTGCAAATGGGGGATACTCCTATTGCAGTATAAACAGAATTGTAAAAAATTAGCGTGGTGAAGTTGGAAGCATCTTACTTGCCCCTGTGGTTACTGAGTATCTGTCACAATTTAGTCCTTACTGAGAGCAATCTACCAAATTAATTTGTCCTGAGCTATAGCTAACTGTCTGATCAGTCAATAAATTGCCACGTGTTGCATGAAGCATGAATAACCAGAGGGAAAGAAGTTTGAAGCCAAAATTGCCATACTTTTGTGTAATATGTAATTTTTGTCTTGCTTGAAATATTTCACTGGCACCTTACTCCCATGAAGCAAAGGTCTGTTAATGAAAAAGCTTAATATGTGATGATACAGTCTAGGCTGACAAATGACAGGCTAAGTTTTTGTATGTATTAGCACGTGATCTGGTTTTTAGATTATTAGGATAATACAAATAATACATTGCAAAGCAGTTCTGTTTCCAAATTAGGAATGAAACAGAACCCTTTTGAAATACAGCTACTTGTCTGGGTTGCAGATGTATAGTTGCTCTTCTTTGACTGGGAATGGGAAGTAGCCTTTCAATGCTTACAGTTGCTCTTTTGACCAGGCTTTGCATATTAGGGCTGTCAAAATGTCAAACTAATTTTCTACAAACACTTTAAAAAAAAACCAAAAAACAAAAAACTCACAGCAACAACAACAACAACAGAAAAGGCAACAACAAAAAAACCCCAAACCTCAAGTTTTGATGAAAATGCAGTGATGTGTTTTGAGCTTAGCAAATACTTCCTATAGCACTTGGAATCGTGGAATTTAATTTTGAGTCCAAACCTGTTTGCCTTCTGGTGTTATATTTGTGTCTAGATTTTGGCTCTGACAGGATTTGATAACTCTTTTATGCCTGTTTCTGTTTACCATGTTTTCATATTTAGAACTGAAAGTGAGCAAAGCCATGTGGGAACTGATGCCAGTATTTATTCCATATGGAAAAAATCTGGTCTTTGCTGATGGAATCCTGGTAGAGTTATTTCAGTAATATTTGTTCAGTACCTTGTGGAATAAAACTAAAGACATCTGAATTGGAATTACAGGGTATGACTGAACTAAAAAGATAGATTTTTTGTTGTTGTTGTTTATAAAACTTTTTTTTCCAAACAAGGACAGTATATCCTGCTTTTAACAGTAGTTATGTTGCAGTCAGTTACAGAAACATTTCAACAAGAGCCAAGCCATGAGAGTTAATTAACATTTTAAACTGCTGTGAGTGGAATTTAATATGATCAAAATGCAGGAAAGTTAGGCCTGGATAAAGCAGGTCAGGGGTAGTGATACAGTTTTTTTCAGTGTTCTGTCTTCACTTCAAACAGCTATTTTTTACAGGCATAGAACACTGCATGCACTAAAGACTCAGTTTCCAAAAAACAAATGTTTAAATCATTAGTCATGAAAAAAGGCAAAAAAACAGAAGCACGAGTTCTATTCAGCTTTTCTGTATTATATTTATTGCTTTTGCAGATGGTATATTTTAAATTTGGCATTAGAAAGTGGTTGAAAAGAAACATAAGAGAGTCTGCGATTCAGCGTCATGTTTGGAGTGTTGTACTATGTGAGATCTCTGCACAGCTTTCCAGTCTTCCATAACTGGGAGTCTTAGTGTGCACTGGTAGCTATAACGTGGGTGTATACTTATAGTGTGATATTGCCTTCAGCTTTTGAGGGCATACCTGCTTGAGGAAGCTGTGTACCTTTTCCTGCCCTAGGTGCTCTCCAGGGAGTGGGAGACCCTCCTCTTGCTTGGTACAGCAAGAGAGACGCATTTCCTCTACAATCAGGAATCCTTTCCAGTAAAGTTCTTCCCATGTTGTGGGGTTAAGAAGAAGTTTAAAGATTTAAATGAAGACTGCAAGGGAGAATCTAGGGAAGGGTAAAGTGTATCCGTAGGTTTAGTGAGCAGTATCTGTGTGTCTCCATAGCACATAGCATAGTAGTTAAAGACACCGGATCATAAAAGCACTCTGATTTGTTATAAACCTGTGTGGTTGGATAACCATAGCATTGGAAACCTGTAGAGGAAAAAGAAGTAAAGACCCTATTTTATGGTAGATTTTACTAGTTTCATTACTGTTCCCTGTTTATTTGCAGCCAAAACTCACACTTGGATGTTTACATCCCTCACTGCTTCAAAATTCTCTCCAAAAAAATAATTTACAAGTGATCATTTGCTATTGTGTGCTATAGCAAGTAGCACTGGAACAAACATACAGTCTTCTGGTTGATTCCTTCTCTGTGAAGTGTCAACTCCGAAATTAGAGGTCTCTTTTTACTGAGTGCTCATTGAAATACTCTAAGACATGATATAATACTTGCTATTTTTCATTTTATTATTTTATTATTCTTTTTATTTTTTTTATTTCTTTTTATTAAACTAATTCATGTTTCTTCCTGCTCATGTATGTTATGGCTTAACTAGGATTGCCTGGAAAACATGCCAGTTGGCAAATGAAAATACTGCACATTTTAAAAGGGCCTTGTAAAATGTGTAGAAGAACTCTAGTTCCTCTTTAAAGTGGCCTGATGGAGACACTGGGCCAAAAGCAAAATAACCTGGTCATCAGCAAAGTCTGATTCCATCAATACGGCATGTAAATCAACATCTCTGTTGTCTTTTTGAACAGATACACTAGCTATTTCTACAGGTAAATTAAAAAAAAGGGAAAGATGAGCTAATTCGATGGTATGTAGTGTTAGATTAGTGTATCATTTGGTAGTGTGAAAAGTCTTGTTGGTTGTGATATGAAATAAAAATTGCTTTTATGGAGCATCTTTTGTAATGCAGATACAAGTAAGTTTGCACAAATGAGATCAGTGGTGAAAATGAATTCAATGCCGGTTCAAGGAAAACAGATAAAAGTGGATGCAGCAATGTCTTGGGTAGCCCTGGCTTTTATCCACTTGAAATCAAACAGAATGAGATGTAGGGTTTATTTTTCTTTTTAGGAAACATTAAGAGGCTGTAACTACAAACTTCCCTGAAGAGGGCCTTGGTCTAAAATAAATAAAGGTCATAAAAAGCATTAAAGTGGTTCAAATTTACCTCAGCACTGTTAACACTGGCTTAGTGTCCCAGTTTTGCTTCAAATATAGACCTATGATTTGAGGTAAGAAATGAGGATTTGCTGTGAATAACACCTGGTTATAGTTGCTCCTACATATTACAAGTAATTTTGGTGGAAACTTGCCAACATTGGAGCAAGGGAATCTGACTTCTAATTTCAGTTCTGTATTAAAGCTACTACCCTTTGCTTTATTTAACTTCCAGCTTTTTAATACTCTAAATAATTTTCGAGCAAAACTCCTTACTGCTCTTTCTTCCAATACATCTGTTAATTCTTAAAAGTGAATTAGCGCTGTAATGTCTGGTAGTTGCCGTAAGAGGGCTTTGAACAATAAAATATGCAGAACTTTTTTTCTAAAGCCTGGGTTTACACTGCTAAGAGGAAACCACATAAATCGTTTCGATAATGGAGCATGTGACAGTGATGACTGTTTTCACTCCTAAAGAGAGACTTTTATCACTTTGGAATTATTATTAATAAAAGTGCAGATTGGTTTTGACATACTTATTGATGTTTATACAGTATCTCTCTCTCACACACCCCTACATTTTTTTTTCCCAAAAAATTTCAAACTACCCTAATAAAGACTTTTCCTCAGTCTCCTTTATCTTCTTTTTCACCCCCGTTCTAGCAAGCATATTGTGGCTTTTATCTAATAAAATGTTGGGAATTTTTTTTGTGTTTTTCCAGCTCCTACTTTGGTAGAAACCAGGGACCTGACTTTCACTGGTTCCCTGAGGGCAGTTTTTTGTCTTCTCCCTGATGTCTTTGTTCCTGAATTAACTCTGTGCTCCTTCTGTTTTGCTAGTAAGGGACTTCAGAGAGACTTTTGGTTGCAGACTGTCCAAGCCAACTGAATGACAGATTGATTAGAGCAGTTATTCTCTGGGTGTGGCTTTGGAGGTGCTAATTTTGAAGATTGTGTTGTCAGATTTTTTTAGTATACCTGCTCGATTACAGATCTGAAGACCTGCTCCAATTGGTCTTGTCAGGAGGTTCTGAGAGGTTTGGTGCATTGCCAGCGAGGAAGATACATGGGCATCTACTACCTGAGCATCCAGTGCTTCTTAAGAGGAAATAAGCACAGGGGCCTTAGCTGCAAGCACCTTCAATCAAAACAGTTTTCTGAGTCCATATATTCCCAAATATTACTTTTCTGTGTCTTGATTATGTAAGCTTGATTATGTGTGCTTCTACAGGCAAAAGTTGCAGCTGATCACTGTACTTGCATTGGTCAGAGCTGTTGCATGTCAATGATATATAGAGAAAGGTGGATCTGATTGGAGTTTTATACTCCTGTATTGGCTTTCATTCTTTTTTTAGTCCTTTTCCACATTAAAGTATGGGTCATAAGAATGAATTTTTTTTCAGAAATAATATCTTTTCTGCCGTATGATGCAGATAGTAGTAATAAGACATCTAGACTGCTTTGTAAGAATATATTATCAAAGGTGGAAATGTGATCTTATGGTGGAAATTTATTTCAAAATGAAAGCTGAGAAAATGGATGAGGAATTGGTTAGAAGGTTGCATCCAGAGATTAGTGGTCCACAGTTCAATGTCCAGATGGAGACTGGTGACAAGTGTTGTCCCTCAGGAGTCTGTATTGCGACCAGTACTGTTAAATATCTCCATCAATGACATAGACAGTGGGATGGAGTGCACCCTCAGCAAGTTTGCAGATAAC